ATGCACATCCAGTACCTATAATACTAAATGCAAACACGATATTATCGTTTTTACTTTTGTTCAATTCATTGGTAAAAAATTGAAAAACAACTGGAAATAACAATTATATAGCGGGTTCATTGAATTGGAATGGATTTTAATAAAAAGAGGAAATTTATATTAAATCCTTTTGCTGTTTAATTTTATTGTACCGACGAATAGATTATTAACGATGATTTTTTAAAATATTTAATTGTGGTAGATTCGATTAAAAAGATTCACACGTCTCGTTTGCTCAACTAAGATGAAAGGGTGATATATTAAAAAAACATATGTCTAGTGTGAAATAAATCTCTTTGTTAATGAAGAGCAACCAGAACTCAATGAACACGACATTTAGGCATCCCAGGTTTCAAAAAATCAATATTTTAATAACTTTAATACACTACACACTTTTGGCATAAGGATGCTAAACGAGGACCTAGAATATCTATTTATCTGTGTAGAACTTATTTGCTGGATTTGGACACGTTCTTGTGTTAAATGTGTGTGTGCTCTAATTTTTGTAATTTACTCAATTTTTTATTTTGAATTTTATTACTTACATGTTTTATTTTTGTATTGCAGGTCTGAGGATGGCTATATAGGCCGAAGCTAATTTAATAAGCAATAAATAAATTTGTAGTATTGATTTTGAGCTTCCTTTCCATTTTATTTAGATTTTCTTTTTACTGGGAAATTTAAAAAACTATTGAAAACTTACTTTACTAACTATCGTTTCGGCAAAATATCAGTTATTTTCAAAAATATGAAACAGTAAGTAGGTAAGAATAATTGGACATACAGCAATGTAAGACTTGTAGGAGTCATCTAGGAGTCAAAATAACGATCTGTTAAAAATGATCATAGTAAAATATCGACGTTAAAGATGAATCTGCAGAGAACATTCTATGTACCTGCTCCATTTTGGAAAGAACTTTGTTTCAGATATTCGGATTCACCCGACAGGAGCCTACCGACTTTAAATAAGTCTTACCGAATTAAACTATGCCCTTCATCAAAATAGTGAACATAAATTAAACATGAGCCACAATGGATCGATCCATCTGGGTCGCAGTCCGAGGCGATAAAATCATCCCACTCATTTTCAACACAAGCTGATCTAGTGGGTGCCTGGGCCCCTCTTTTTAGTCTAAATATGCGTTAAATTTTGGTGTAGAATGGTGGTATATTTTTCCGTCTTTTTTCAAGGATTGCTCCTGAGGATTGTCTCAGGCGTGTTGCTCTCTATCTTAAACCTAATTACGAGCCCTAACAACTATATGTTCGGACGATGTGAGAAAATTAAAAAATATATTATTATTTATTTTAAATAATTTTTTCGATTTTCCTTAGTGAAAAATCAAGTCACATACTCTTTACTTAACATAAAATCTGATCGTATGCGGAATTTTATAGCTCAAATCGAACTTTAATACGAGGTATCATCACCTTTTGCGGTAATAACGGCTTGAATGCGTCGTGGCATGGAATCTACTAAAGTCTTACAATATTCGGATGTGAAAGAGTTCCAAATTTGTGAATTTTTTTCCTTTAATGCGGGAACGGTACGCTCAGGATCGTTACGCAAAGTCTTCTTTATCAAATGCCATAATGTTTCAATGGCATTCAAGTCGGGACTACTCGAAGGCCACGATAAAACTTTTATATTATGGTCACTAAACCACTTTTTCGTTGTTTTCGCCGTCTTGTTGAAAGATAAAAATATCAATTCCAAAACATTGTTCTGTTGTTGAAACTAAGCTTCTTGATAAAATTTGTTGATACCTTTCTGCATTTACAGTACCATCAATAAACTCATATACACCAACCCCTTTACTATTTATACATCCCCATATCATAACCCCTTTGGGAAATTTTACAGTACGCTTTAAGCAGTCTTTATGAAAAGCTTCGGATTTTGTACGAATTACCCTTTTTCGAAAATCCCCAACGCATACATCAAATTTCGATTCATCACTGAAGATGACATTATTGCACATTTTCGTTGTCCAGGATATTTTGGATTTTGACCAATCCAAACGTTTTTTCATTTAAATAGCTGTCAGTAATGGTTTTTCCTTCGCCTATAGGAAATATGTGTAACAGAACATTATTAATACTTGTGTATTAAAACGAAAAATTACAAACTTACTTTATAAAAACTGTAACCAGACTTATATAACTATTGTGTACAACATTTCCCAGAGACATTTAATTTTGCCTCATGATTCCATTGGGCTTGTATTTGTCGTAGAGTAGCCCTTCTGTTGGTTTTGCAAATCTTTACCAGAACACGGCGTCCTCTTTCTGTGATAGTACGCGGTCTGGACTTTTACCACGAACTTCAACACTAAGCTGTCTCTCCATATTTTTTAATAATATCCCCGATCATTGATTTTGCAATATTTAAATCATTCGAAATTTTTTGCATTGATTTACCTGTGTGGTACTGAGAAATTATAATTTCTCGTAGTTTTTTGTTTGTCGCAACTCCACGTGCCATTTTCTTAAAAATGTATATCAAAATTTGACGGATAAACCTTTAACTGACAGCTATTAACCAAAGCACACTAGATTTATCAGTAAATACACGCATATTACTGATTTCAAAGCCAATAAAGATTAGCGTCCGTATATTTATTTGTCGGCAAATTTGATCAAATTCCGTAACTTTGTTATGTAGTTTATACAAAATAAAAAAGTATTTTCTTACGATCAGATTTTAGGTTAAGTAAAGAGTATGTGACTTGATTTTTCACTTAGGATAATCGAAAAAAAATGTTTAAAATGAATATAAATATATTTTTTTAATTTTCTTACGCGTCGTCCGAACATATAGTTGATAGGGCTCGTATCTTGTGACCAGATAAAGATGGTTCACTCGATACTCTGCAGTATAGTATTACATTTTTTTGTTCTACATATTTTGAATTAATTAGATTTATACCTATGTTTATCATTTTAGAAAATAAATGTAATATTTTATTAAACCACAAATTATAGGTTATTTATATTGCTATTAATAATGTTTTATTAAAATTTAAAATGATTTTATAATTATTTATTTTTTTGCAATAAATCGATATATTTTTAACCACTAGTTTATTAAAAGCCATTAATATTTATATGCATACACCTAACCTAGACACACCCCGACATATTTATAGTTATTATAAAGTATGACCAGTTTACCGGCGTTCTTCCCAGCCCAACGTTTCGTTGTGGCTATTGATTTTCCAACAGGTCGATATCTCTCAGCGTCAACTAAGTTAAAATTTAGTACGTCTATTCTATCCAATGGTCGTGTAACAAAATATTCTTTATTCACGACTCTCCATCTGAAATCTGGCATAGATTTGATACCTATTAACTTGATTATTTCTAGTTAGCGTGCATTCCCAACGTAAATGACGTGATATTGCTCTTATTAAGTGGAACTTTCCGGGAAAGTTTTCCCATATAAGTCTATTAGTACGTACTGGAGGGTTTAAATTATTTAGCAGCGATTTGTATATAGGTAATCGAAACTTGTTTTTTTTTTCACTTAGAAGTTTTCATATTACGAGTAAATATTTCCAAGGATTAACTAACTTTAAAAATTCGTGGAAAATCTCATTTGTTGTTTATAAATGTTTTCTTGTAGATTTTCCAGCAGACGAACTTTAGATGTATAGATTACCAAATATGTATTAGTCATTATATCAGATATACATAAAGATTTTAGCCTATATCTAACAACCAATTGAAGAGCACACAGCAAAAACGATGAAAGTCACTGAAAATTAGTTAAATACACGATAAAATAGCTGAAAGTCTGTAGTATATGCTGAACTGGTTTACATAACAATACGGTGTATATTCAGGGAGTTATTTCACAAACAAAAAATGGTGGACACAGCAAAAACGATGAGTGTCATGGGTAAACACAGGAAAAATCGTTACAAGTCAATGTGTGCGAGGTGCGTGTTACTTGTGAAATAGGGCAAATAATTTTTGTTATTGTTTACATTCTAGTGTTTTATAAAGTCCAACGGGTTGAATTGTGTAGTTTTTGCTGTTAAAATGAGTACACAAGGACTAAATAATGAAGAAAATAGTAGTAGTGACTCGGATACAATCGAAAAGTTAAATATAGAATACAAGAAAAGACATTATTTTTGACGAGAAGTAGACGTTATGAAAAATTGAGACTGTATTCGCACGAGCAGGGCGAAGACTGTAGATGCACAAGGTATTAATGTTTTGAAAAATTAGATTTTCTTGAAGGAAAACAAATTATAAAAGAATTTAATGAATTGTCTTCTAACGACGAACAAAGTTCGTATTTAACAGATTTAATAAGTGTGTTACCAATTAAAACACGTCTCCCAAGACAAAATGAAGAATTAGCTAGATTTCAGGACAGGTTCTTATAAAATAAGAACTATAAGGGAAAATAATATTATTGAGGTTCCGGTCTGTCGAAGGGTATTTCTTTCGTAGCATGGCATTTCTGAAAGGCGGTTACAAACGATTCAGGAGTCTCTAAAAAATGTGGCTCAAAAAGACATGAGGGGAAAATAATCACACATTCATTGTACTAACCCTACTGCTACTTTGGAGGCTGTAAAAAATCACATAAGTACTTTTAAAGGGCAACAAAGTCATTATAGCCGTAAAAAGACTACTGTGGTTTATGTACCGGAGAGCCTTAATCTCTAAAGAAGATGTACTAAATGTACACCTATTTAAATCTTGGATCTGTCTCGTATGAAAATTATCGCAAAATATTTAATAATAATTGAAATATTAAATTGGGATACGCTCGAAGCGACACATGCAGTTCGTGTGACAATTGGGCTTACAAAGAAAAATTGAAAATACCCCAATCACAGAAGGCAAAGAAGAACTAATGCAACAATTAGGAGATTTGGAAATTCAGAATGAGTTACACCTAAAGAAAAAGAAGCATGAAAGTTACAGAGTATGAAAGCAATACTATGGATTTCCAAAAAAAATTGCCAATATCGAATATTTCCACTAATGATGTATATTATAAACGTCAGCTTTCATTTTATTCATTTAATACCCATGTTATTTCTAAATTAGATTCGTACTTCTATTGCTACTCAGAAAATGTTGTTGCTAAAGGATCAGAGGAAGTAGTTTCTATGCTTCACCACTTTATATTTACTCAATTAGATAAAACAGTAAGAGAGCTCGAAATATTTTGCGATTCATGTGGGGGACAAAACAAAAATTATATATTTTTCGATATATTCATTACGTTGTTGAAACTACTAGAAGACTTGACAGGATAAAAATTACCTTTCCTATAAGGGGACATTCTTATCTTGAATGCGATAAAAATATGGGCCTCATAAACCAGAATACTAAAGCTGAGACTACTGCTGACTGGATTAATGAAATTTAATAAGCAAGAGCTAAGCCAACGCCATTTAAAGTTTTTGATCTCGACCAGAGCTTCTTTCGTCAATGAAATAAATTATTTAGCCAATATTATGTAGTAAAATATTTATATGAAATACAGCCACTTCGGGAAATTCAAATAGAATCCATACATCCCAGATATCTTTCATATCGTTCAAACTATAATGGGGCCACAGAAACTTCATTAATTCGTACTGCTTCTATCAACCAAACAAAAATGCCAGGTCCTAACGAATTTTTCCTACCGGATAAAAAGTATATAGGTAATGAGTTACTAGATTAAGTCTTAAGGTTTTTTGTATCATTATGGTTTCATTTCTCAGAACCCATACCAATAAGTTTGGAAAAATGGGACAACTTACAGCAATTAAAAACGTTTTGTGAAAATGATGGTGTCTCAGAATTTTATGGCAATCTACCTCACAAATTAACAAGAAAAGTAAAAAAAAAAAGAAAATGTGTTGCATAATGTGATAGAAACTGAAACTGGGAAAGAAGAGGAAGAAGAAACAAATAAACGAAAAAAAAAGAAAACTGTTGGAAATCGTAGAAAAGCAGTAGTAAAAAAGGGACAACAGAAATAAAAGTATTATAGGTTTGGTTAGGTTGTTTAGTATATTTTGAAAAAGCATTTTATTAAAGCATAGCATATTGTTTAGTTGACTATGATCGATTTTAATAAGTTTTTAATGACAACCAACGTTTTTGTGTTGTATTTTTTGTATTTTGGAATTATTTTTTTGTTTAAATTAAAAATTGAAAGACTTATAGTGATGACTTTCTTTACATAATATTGTCTAATAAATGTTGCACATAATGTCTACTAACTTATTTATCTTCAGATTTCTGCTCTAAGTGTATTTGACTTATTTTTATCTGTCGTTTATAAGCAGGTCTTGGGTATATTATATTCCCTGCTTTACCCGTATTCAGGTAGTATCTCTGAATAGTTTTCGGTATCCTACCAAGTGTTCCTGGGGCGTTCTTTCCAGTTCTGGACCGAAAAGGAAATGTAGCCGCCTAGCAAGAGCTTCGCGTGCGAAGATAACATGGTATGGGGATTATTCTGTTGATTATACATAATTTTGTTTTGTTTTTTAATTTAAAATAAAACGACATTTTTCAAGATATGGCTTGATTTATCATTTTGCCCTTCGACCGGGGTAGTACGGGTAACGTGTTACTGCAAGGGTGTTCGCAAGGAATCTGGTATAATAATTGTATGTTGACGGCCACGTCTATGCTGTGTGTTAAGGCTGTTAGTAAATTTGAACATTGGATTATCTTTATATTGATAGCAACAATTAAAAATGAGCATGGTAAAGCTGTTATCAAAGAGGTGAGGACAAAATATATCAAGATATGAGAGCTGTAAAAGGATCTTGATGCAAAATTATGCTTCTCATATTTGAGATTTGAGTGCTTTATGGAGTCATCCAATTAGGAAACAGTATTCAAGAGCAATTTTCAACAGTGCTATCAAACAAAATGGATTTATAGACACTGTATATCAATGTATCATTTTCATTACAATCTATCTGCTAATAAATAAATTCAAAATAGAGTACATTGGGCAGAACTGTATATAGAAATTGGTCTCCTTAACAGTGGATCGCAGTGGCGATTCAAGACCCAAATATTGAGGGTTCATAATGACAAAATATAGATTTCAGTACACATTTAGATAAAAAACTTTCAGGGTTAACAATATACGTTTCTAAAACACTAAAACTTTTTTACCTGATTCTATACTGAGATCTATATTCTCTCATTATGAACCTGTTGTGTCCAAAAGTTAATAAATGATTCTCAAGTTACTAAATATGTTTATTAGTTTTCTAGATTTTTCTCGTATGATTATTATTTTGGATTAAACTTAATTTAGATAATACTATGTTTAACGCTAACATTGTTAAAGTTTTTCTTATTTATGCAACTAATTTGATTAATTTATGTATCTTGCAATTGTAATTTATCTATGAGCAGTATACAAATCAATATTTTCATCAGGACTATGAATATTGCTGATTTAATTTGACTTTTGACTTGAAACAAAGAACTTTGACGTTGTTTCAATAATGTTGTATAGAAATCTAATAAAATATTCATTAGATCAATTAAGTACATTGTTTATTGTGGCACTAATTAATTCAAACAGGCTTTGTCGACTTAATAGGCATTATGTACAAAGCCATTTAATATTTTGTTTATTTTTCAGTGATTTGCCAAGTACATTTTTATAATTATTTTTAAATTAAAATGAAAGTAAAAAGTTTAAAAGTAAAGCTAACTTTTCATTTTTGGATAAAACATAATTAGACGCCCACTAAACATAGAAACTTACAAATACTTGCTGCAAATTTATTTTCGGCATTCAACAAAAACTTGTTTCCTAAGTGTATGGAAAAATTATTATCAGCTCACAAATTTTTATTCATAATCGGAAGTTTTTAGTAAGTTTTTATGAGAAAATGTATATTTTTAAACTTGAAGCAATCTCATTTTTTTTATATTTGCAGAATAAAATTAACAGAAAATGTTCTTTCATAAATTAATTTTTGAAAACTTTATATAATTTAAAAATATAAAGTTGTAGACACTTACTGCAAGTTTATTTTCGGCTTACAAATAACTTATTTCAATAATTATGTGGAAAATTTATTATAATTTTGCAAACATTTATATTTTTAAACTATGAATAAAGGTAAATGTCTATTTTTGTGAATTATCAACATCAAATTATCCAAAAATTTATTTAAAACTTCATACACAGGAAGGCCTTTGTCGAGGCTCCTATTGTTCCTCAGACTGCGATTCTTATGTAATGTCTCTTTCTATTCGATTCATAACGTGTCTAGTTCACACATATACGAACTCTTAGACAAGGATAGAGGGATCGAACGATCTAAACAATTCGGGATCGTAATACTGTAGTGACTTTGACAGATGACAGATTTTTTGTCAAAATAAATCAAGAAATACAATGATAGAAAAACTGGAGAAGATCGAAAAATGTAGAAAAACCTACAGTTTTAATCTTTTTTGCCTTTTAATTGTGTCGCACTGGCAGACATCAGAATTATTTAAAAGCTAATAGAGACCTTCAGACTTGGCTGGTGCTGGTAGGTATATATATGTCGTAGGCGAATTGTAAAACTAGGCGTTTTATGAAACGCCTAGGCTTTTTGTAAATGACTAGGCAAATTAAATATAATAGTTTATTTTACATTCTGACTGACATATTTAGGCAGTTAATAAAACGCCTAACACTTTCTAATCATATTGAAGGACGACGTTGATTAAATGCCTGAATTATGTAAACCGTAGATTTGGGTGATTTGGTACCGTGTTACGACTTGGAACAAATCAAGTATTATTGGAATTTTTGTACCACCATCTAACGGTGAGTAGCGGAACAAAAACTGTTTTTGCTATTAGCTTCATTAGATGTCAGTGTAAGTGACTGTAGCATAATTTGAAAATTGTTTTTGTTTTATGATCGTTAAAATAACTGGGAACGTAGGTATGTAAAAACATAGTTTTTAATGACCGTTTTACTTCCTATGGTCCTATTCAAATTTTTTGACACTGACAATTGTAGTATTTTTATTTGTGATCCCTTATTATGTCCTTAAATTAAATTAAAATATACCTAACATCAGAATCTTTCCATTTTTAAAAAAAAAAAACCTTTTTATTTTTGTGTTTTGTTTTAAGGTGATTTAGACATGTCGATATATAGGCGCCGCTTAGGAAGTCGTCAAATGAATCGCTCGAGAATACTTTGGAAGCTATTCAAACAAACAATATGTCTTATCGAGCAGCTGCCAATAAATATGGGATTCCCAAATCGACTTTGGAAAGAAAGTTTAACAAGAACATGAAGTCACCAGGAGGTCAAACAAGTCTTTCTGAAAATCTGAAATAGAGGAGAACAAACTTGTGCAAGCAATAATAAACGTAAGTGATTGGGGATTTTCATTGGAGAAAGATATTAAAGATTTGGTGCACGGCTATATTATGGGGCAAGGTAAAAATGTGAAAAAATTTCGTGATTCCATGCCAGGCGTCTCATGGTAATATATGGGTTTATTTTAAGACATAATAATTTGAGCATACGTTTGTCAGAAAATGTAAAAAGAATCAGAGCTGCTGTATCTACAGAAATATTAATTTTGTTAAGATGTGGTGACGGTATCTGCACGTTTTTGAAGTCGGTTTTTTTAAATTTTTAATTCAGGTACACTTTTTAAAGTCTTGTATATTAAATTTGGAATACTTTGCCATTGCTTGCGGAACTTCACTGTCTTCAGGTACGATTTGAATGTCTTCAATGTTAAATATTTCTGTTGCTTCTGAGTCTTGTGAAGTACTTGTACTGTTAATCAATTTCGAAACATCATTTGAATTTTGATGGAGGCTATTAGAGTAATTATTAATCAATATATTTTCCGGATCCTCTTCAATTCTTATATTAACAGTCTCCGTAGGTAACTCAGAAGAGTAAAGACCAACTGGAAAAACGACACCAAATAACGCTTTGTAGGATAAACGTCTGATGATTTTAAGATAAGACGATTTTTTTTGCCTCAGCACGCAATAGCAACCCATTGTATTAACAAATAACTCGACGTAAACGCTGCCACTAATTCTTCTATGGGAAAAATAAAATGCGGAGGCGTTACTTAGTCTTTTAGAAAATTACTGAACATAGTCTGCATATTGTATAATCAGCGTAGTTTTTCCATACGACTGAAAAGTGTTAACTAAAAATGTCAGTTAAAACGTAAAATTAACCATTTCATTTAATTTGCCTAGCCATTTACAAAAAGCCTAGGAATTTTATAAAACGTCTAGTTTTGCAATTCTCCTACGACATATACATAATAGGTAATATTATAAAAAAATTGTTTGGTCCAGAGAAACATCTAGTTAATATATCAAATGTTTTTTAGGGGCTGGTCCTCGTTCATATTCTGTTATGACTGGTGATTTTTGTTTTAAAATCAGTTCTAGTTTGGTTCTACAATGGTTTGGTTTTAACTGCTAAGGTTCGCTTTCAAGAAGGGACAGATGACTGCAACAAAATATGTTAATTCACTTTTTGATGAAAGTTATAGAAAGTTTTCCACTTTGTTATTTTCATATTGGAGAATATTTTTGGTGCCTGATTCCTGCATTTTCAAAAAGTATATCAGTTTTGGTTTCTTATTGTGGTTTTATCAAATTGCTAAGTTTTATAATTTTGATTCATAATATATATGTATATTTATGTTGTTTGTTCTGTTATACAAGGTGTTTAATTTGTACATAAATAAATGAGGTACTTTAATTATATTAGAATATTTTTGTTGTTTTATTTATATAATTCTAAATGTTTAGATATTCCCGAAATATCCAGTGTCTTGTTATATTTTAAAATTTTTTTGAAGCTATGTGACTTTTGAACTAATTGAGACAATGAAATGAAATTTTCATCACTCTTATTCTAATTTATATATTTATTCATCTTTGTTTTTGCTTTACTTCCTATCTAACCAAATATGACATTCCATATTTTCGGGGATAGCACAACTATGTTGTTTCAAATAGATTATCTTGTAATTTGAAAGTCCAATATTTCCTCTTTCTACACGTGTCATTACTTCGAAGGGTTAATACTAGGTTATGATTTTATTCGCATTTAAAATAAATACTGCCATGTACATGTTACTTCAGTTGTTATTCTTCAAGATGTACATATTATGAAACCTGATCTAATAAAGAGTAAAATACCACTTTACTGAACAATGAAAATAACATGCAGTATTTATTTTTAAGAGCTTATAAAACCATCACCCCTTGTAACAATTATAAAAGTATGGCACTTATGGATAGGGGAAACAGTGGGCTATTAAATTGAGAAAAATAAATCGAAATAACAGTTACCTTATCTCCGAAAATACAGAATGTTATTTTAGGTTAAGCTAGATGTGGGCAAAAACGACGGGTACACGAAAAAAAACTTATAAAAATTAAAAGAAGACTGGTGAAAAGCGCATTTCGTCATTTCAACTAGTTTAAAAGTTACATGGTTTTAGAAAGTTTTAAAATATAATGGAACACCTGGTATAAAGACAGTGCCATCCTGAGAGTTTAAAGAGTAATCATAATGGTAAGTTCAATAAAAGTTTAAATTTAACAGTGTAAGTTAAGTGTGATTTTGAAAATTTTCAGATAATTCGTATGAAAGTTCTTAGATAATATTCAAATTGAAACTTTAAATAAGTTTTTAATTGTATGTTAACAATAAGTTAATTTCGTAAGTTTTCATTAAGTATGGCATGGTATGTTTATTTTTTATAGTTTAGAGTGAGGCAGCTTCAAACTTGCCAAAAGCTATCAATAAATATTTAACAAACTTGCAAGTAATGTTCCATTTATATTTGTAAGCTTGCAATACATTTGCATCGATCGATTTTGCTTCTCTCTATTTTGTATGTAAATACAAAAGTATCAAATTTGACAAGAACTTAAATATAGCAGGTAAACTACAAAATGCAATGCATTACTATTTCATTTAACAGATGTTACAAAGATTTCAAATTGACTGATGAATTGTTGTATCATTTAAAAATCGAGTAAGGAATATCATCCTAAAGTTTGGGCATTAACTTAATGATCACCCTGTATATGTCTTTTCGTATATAGGTTTATAGTTTTTAATTTAGTAGTTTTCAACTAATAGATATATTCATGACCTTTTTCATGCGCGTATTTTATTCCATGTTCAAATAATTAATTGAAATATATAATTTAATTCATGTACCCACTTATTTAATATGCATTTAAAAAATTGTAATTTTTGCAATTGCATAATTTCTTTCACTTTTAATGATAATCGTATAATAATTATTTTAATTAAAAAAAAATTGTGTATTTTTTGCCAAAACACAATAACATTATTTATCTAGTTAAATTTCTTACAAAAATATTTTATGTTCATAGATTTACGATGTATTTACAAAGAATGCCTACAAATTAAGCTGGCAAATCACCACAATCAGTGTTTTATTTTAATAATTAAAACAATAGTTAATTTCAAAAAGTGTAAAGATTTACGTTTATGTAACACAGACCTTTTACCTACTAAATAATTTAGAAAATACGTGATTACATTAGAAATATTTCAGTTTAAAACGATAGCTTAAAATTATATTTTAAAATTGTTTATTTCATAATTATTAAGAAATTCTCAAATTTTTCAAATTTTCGGACAATATTTTATTAATATTTATGAATCAAAGAATCTATATTTATTTTATTGAGAAAAATTACATTATGTATTTAATTTTTTAATGCAATTTATGTAATTTATTCTTGTATAATACTAAAATATTTCAAACTAAAACGTATTTGTTTTAAAAAAGGTTTTATGATAAATGTTAATATGAATGAATTTATATTTCAATTAATTATTCAAAACGTAATACGTATCATAACCAAATATAATACTATACATAAAAATCTTCAATTAACATTCCCTATCTACCAAATTCGTTTATCAGTTACTAGCGCCTAAGTTTGAAACAAAGACGAACATAAAAATTTCCTAAGATTGTGTTTCTTACTTCAAAAACATCTCAAGATCTAACCCTGTGAAAGAGGCATCCAAGTTATTGACACCTTGATGATATTGGTAATTACTATTATTAGTGGACCTCCAGTTCGTTTGTGGAGGTTGAGGCCTGTGTTATTCGCCAGTCGCCGTCACCGTCGTCCAATTCCAAGGACTCGTGTAACCTTTTTGGCTGCAAAACAGAAAATATAACTTTAAAACAACGTTCAATTACATACAGTTATAGTAGTTTATCTACTTCTATTAATTTATATATTAATTATTCAACTGCTTTTGAGCAATTAATAGTATCAATAAACAAATAGCGTTATTATAACTCACGCTGGGCTCCTACGATAATTCGGCATATAAATAGTGTGCGCAGTAAATTATTGGAAATTTTAAAGTCGATGAATGTTCCATTGGCGTAAAATGTTAGAAAGATTTTTTAACAACTGGAAAGGAATGAATAATAATTAAAAGATTTTAAAATTATTAAATTGTCAACGCCTCTCAGTAGGCGGAACAGTCACAGTGGCGGTCATACGGGGGGGGGGGGGGGGGGGGCATGGGGACCATTGCCTCCCCCTTGGCTAATACTGAACTAAAAAAACCGTTCAAGAAAATAAGTAGCAGATCTAAATAATAAAAATAAATATTAGTTTAAAAATTATTTATGAGCCGCTAAAATAGATACTTTAACAACCAATCGCACTTTTTTGAAAAGACTTACTTAACTCTATTTATTATGAATACGAGATACAAGCAGTCAGATTAGGCGACCGGCTTTAATCTCAGCGGAGCGTAGCGCTTGCGCGAGCACGACGATAGGTAGGTATGTATTTCCCATGGTATTTCGACTATTCCAGTTTCAGTTTGTTGTAGTTGAATGTTGAGCGTAATATTGTGAAATTAGAGCGGTGCGAACATATCCTTCTTAATTGTACGATCAAGACGTACTGTAATAAGTATAGGTTTTGCGCGGATGTAAATATATACGTAAGGTAAAATTCAGCATTACATATACATAATTCTCACCTAATAATTATTTTAGAAACCGTGTACCATATATTCTTATTTTGCACCTACAACACAGAAAAAAAATCTGTAGAGGCCCCAGTTGAAAATACACAACAAAACATCGAGCCGCAACCATCAACCTCGGAAGTCAATAGTAGTTCAAATGCTCTTGCAACTGTTGATAAACCAGAAATTTTTAAATTTGACATTGGGAAGGCAGTGGGGTGTTCCAGTATTTCTGACTACGACAAATTTAATTACATAAATAATACATGGACAGCTGAAAGCAATTACCCTTTTCCATATTCGGAACATAATAAAAACAACAAGGTAGTAAGACGGTATTTACATCATCATCATCATATAAATAAATATGACTGGATAGCTTATTCTGAAGAGAAAAGGGGTATTTTTTGTAAATATTGTGTAATTTTTTCAAAAAATCAACCAAATTTACAGATAGAAGACTCTTTGTTAATTGGTAAGCCTGTTATAAAATTCGCAAAATTACTTGGCAAAGATGGGGTACTTGAAATACACAATTCAAGCAAATATCATGGTGAAGCTGTTTTGAGGGCTAATAATTTTTTATTAACATATAGCGTTCCTTCAACAGATGTCAGAAATTTGCTGGATACCGCCAGGTCGCAGCAGATTGATGAAAACAGAAAGAGGTTGAAGCCTATTATCCAAACCATAATTTTTCTTGGTCGACAAAATTTTCCTCTACGGGGACATAGAGATGACGGGCCTCTTTTAGATCATGAAGATGGAAATGATGGAAACTTTAGACAGCTTCTCCGCTTTAGAATTGAAGCTGGAGACAAACTCTTGGAAAACCATCTAAAAAAGACCCTTGCCCGAGCTACATATATTAGCAAAAGAACACAGAATGAGCTGATAACATGCTGCAAAGAGGAAATAATCTCTATAATTTTAAAAAAAGTCAAAAAGGCTAAGTACTTCAGTATTATGTTCGATGAAACAACAGATA